TACAGTCAGCAGAACCATGAGCCAAAATAAACCTCTTTTATTTATAAATTACCCAGCCTCAGTCCTTTATAGCAACACAAAACAGACTAAGTAGAGTATTGTTGAAGTCTGTTGAGTCTGTCTTCTTTTGCTCACCCATTGTGTCTGGGATTCATCCATGTTGTTTCATGTAATAATAGTTCTTTTATTTATTGTTTTGGGGTCACTTTCTACTGCATAAATATGTAATAATTTATCTATTCTGCTGTTGATTAACATTTGGATAGCTTTCTGTTTGGGACTATTACAAATAAAGCTGCTTTGAACATTCTTGTGTAAGTCTTTTGGTGGACTTACACACTTGTTTCACTTCTATATATATATATCTAAGAATAGAGCTTCTAGGTCATAACATAAATACTGCAAAAGTCATGAATATTTGGTATACTTTCTTCCAAAATCTTGATTAGTTTAGCTTTTGTATAAGTCTATGATATGCTGTGATTTTTTTTCTGTGATATATTGTGGATTTTTTTATGTATGAGCATGGAGATCAAGGGTCATTTCTCCCAACACAAGGATATCCAATTAATCCAGCACTATTTATTGGAAAGACTACCTTTTCTTTTCTGAATTACAGTGGTGCCTGTCTGTTAAATTAGAAGACTGTACTGTATGGATGTGTTTTAGACTCTTCATTCTGCTCTATTGATCTGTTTTTCATATTTATTTTAAAGAAAGTTGAGACATGCTGAATATATAGCTTTTAAATTTTTCTTACACAGTATTACATCATACTTCAAAAGCATAAATTTAAAACAACTGCAAAAAAAAAAAAAAAACCTTGGTTTTTTCTTGGACATTTTCTTTCCTTGGACATTTAGGTTGTTTTTTTCCTTCCTCTGTTTTGTTTTGATCTATTTTTTATGTTGGAGGCCTTCCTCCAATGTCTGATAATCTTTGTCCATTCATTTATGTATGAGGCAGTAAATAGTCCATTAGAAGTTCAGTGTGCATAGGCTTTACTGTGGAGTAATTGGCGAGTCATTTCTTTGGTGTCCCCCCAATTATTAGTATCTATCTTTTTTTTTTTCCATTGGGACTGTTAAGTTTTCCAGAGGAAAATTTTCCACTTTACTGTCTGCAGAGTTAGTGCCAGTCCATCTAGCAGGTGTCTTGTAATTAAAAAAATAACAACATTGAAAAATATTGTGTTTTTTTCCTCCATCTCTACTTTGATGAAGTCTTATTTCCATTGACCACTTTCCCAAAGAATAGTTTCTGCCCTTCTCATTGTGTGGTTGAATGACTGCTAATCCCGTGACTCTGAGTATGTCTTGAATGAGATCGTGGGATAGCAGTGTTCAGTGCAGTCTATTAATGGATCTTGACTGCAGCACTCTTTGAGCTGTCCCTTTTAGAGCTCTGATTTGTCTTTAATGCTACAGTTTACACTGTTTGCATTTGATCTGTAGTGAAACACTTCACTAGAGTAGGGTTTATATTTTACCTGACCAAATTTATAAGGGAAAGCAGTCATGTTACAAAGTTCAGTATCATACCTTAAATTTAAAGCTCTTTTGTGTTTTGCTTATGTAAAGTGGTTTGTACTATACTGTGTCAGTGTTAGGTAATCTTTTTTGCTTTGCTTTGCTTCTTTACCAGCTTGGGAACAATGGATTCCCCCTGGATGAAGTCCTGTTTTTCAAATGCCAGCTCTAGGATCTGTCATCCAGCACAGATGCTCTTTCTGTGACTTTTGCTGTTCTCTCACTGGGATTTTTTTCTTGTTTAGAGGAAACTGAAAATAGATCCAGATTTTTATTCTTCCAAGATGACTGTCTATATTGGGAACAAAGGGAAAAAGTATATGTGTGGAAGGAGGTCATGGTAGCTGGAGCACCTTTGTGGTTTATCCTTTGTATAAATGCCTCTGTGAATAACTCATGGGATTTTTCCCTTCTAGACCTTATATTTTTTTTTCCTCAAGCAGATGGAGAAAGATACATACCAAAAATGAGAGAGAAACATGATGAGGGGGTAAGTGAGGAGGACACATACACTTGGAAGAGAGCTTTGAGGTTCTCAGGGAGAGAACTGCACAGGATAATGCAAACAGATAGATCAAGATAAGTCATGAGACATTGAGGTCTGAAGTTGTAGTAGTTCTATACTCTGTTCTTTTTTCTCCTCATTGCCCATTGTTTTTAGATGAACAATATCTTCAAAGAAATATAGGTCCAGACTTTGCTAGAGTGAGAATGATCTACATGATCTTGTTGAACTGATTATGTTAAACTGCAGTTTTAATGAAGTTAGGTTACATACACTGAATTTCAGGACAGAAGTAGTTATGGTAACTGTATTGTACTTGTGTGATTTAAAAATAAATAATGGAATGGCCATATGGTGATTGATGAGACTGATTTCTGTGTTAACCAGGGCTCACTAGGCTTTCTACAGCCTTCCTGGTAGGAGAGAGGAAAAAAAATGCATTTGCTTTTATCCAAATTTGTATGATAATTGTAGTGTTAATCACCATGAGCCTTTGCATTCGGGTTCCTAGGTCAGGGTGTGTTGCCAGTTGCAGACCAGAGAGCAGAAAAGGAAAAGAACTCTCCTTTTTTTCTGAGTCCCTTTCAGGCCCTGGAAAAATAAAGTGGTGTCAAAAATGGGAGATAATACAGATATGGTTGAAATAGAGACCCTCAAGCCATTTGATCCTATAACATAGAGTTTCAATTTATAATCACACTCCTTCAAATGACACTCTCTCCATCAGCACCTCCTTCTACTAGGTTTAAGCCCCTACTCCTACCCAGCAGTCTGTTTACCACGTTTTCTAAAAATCATTGTCCTTATGTTTGTTTCAACCAGTTGCCCAAGGGTAGGGTTTGAGGCATATTGAGCTCTATACCTCACTACTTAGTCCAGTGTCAAGAAAGCACTTAATAAATGTATATTTGTGAATGTCACCCAGAAGGGTTCATTACCTTACCTTACCATCGGTTTCCAGGACTGGAAGTTCTGTAGAGGTAGTTTAGGTTAGGCCAGGCTTTAGTCTTTGATTTATGAGTTGTTATAAAGTCATCCGGAATGCCATTTCTTTCCTTTTTTCTGCTCTGCCTTTCTGAGTGGCCCACTTAAAGCTGGCTCCTTCTCAGGGCTGCAGATTTGCTCTCAGTAATTTTGTAGGCCTTATCTTTCCTAGACTTTGTGTATACCTTTGTACAGGGGAAGGCAAGGTTTGGTGGGAGTGTGTTAAGAGTCCGAGCTTTTTACTGATTGAACCACTTCAGAACCAGTCCCAGTGGCCAGGGAGTGCCATTTGCATCTGGGTTAAGTCCTGAATTCCTTGAATCAATCATGATGAAAAAGTGGAGAGAGTGACCCTGATTGGTTTAGATAGACTGGGTTCACCCTGGAGCTGGATGGGATGAGCTTTCCCTGAAGCACATGAACTACAGGAAGAATGGGCAGAGATCTACCTGGAAACCTGACTACTGTTAGAAGGGGAGAATATGGATGTTGTGTGGGCAACCAGCAAAGTCCACTGCTGCTGTAATCCAGATATTTTAGGGAACCTAGACTATTTATGACTATTCTGTCCTTTATATAATAAAGTCACTTAGGAATTTATTGATTGCCTGTTATGGAAAATAATTAATAGTGAAATTATTACATTTTGAATCTGAGACTCTTCCCTACTATTTGGTTGGGGATAGAAGACGCCCAAATAGGTAAAAAGTTAACTATTGATGTAAGATATGGGTAACAGCACAAAGCAGCAGTATGACAGATGATATCATGTTGTTTAAGTGAGACATTCTTAGAGTTTATACTTTGCATTCCCCAGTAATTGTTTGTTTGTTTGTTTTTGAGACAGAGTCTCGCTTTGTTGCCCAGGCTGGAGTGCAGTGGCACGATCTCAGCTCATTGCAACCTCTACCTCCCAAGTTCAAGCGATTCTCCTGCCTCAGCCTCCTGAGTAGCCAGGACTACAGGCACGTGCCACCATGCCCGGCTAATTTTTTGTATTTTTAGTAGAGATAGGGTTTCACCATGTTAGCCAGGATGGTTTCAATCTCAACATGATCCACCCACCTCAGCCTCCCAAAGTGCTGGGATTACAGGCATGAGCCACCACACCTGGCCATTTGTTTGTTTTTAATCTGAAAGTCACCACCACTGTGGAGCTTGAAGAGATAACAGAAACAAGATGCTGGCCCTGAGAACTTCAAGCCCAATCAAGAGAATGATTAACAGGCTTGGGGGCTGGGAAGCATGGCTTCCCTCACAGAAGCAAACCACGGAGGACAGGGTCCTGTAAACACAAATAAGTGTTCCTGGTGAGCCCCCCAGAGTCTCAGGGACCTGGACGGGCAGAGGAGACGCTTGGCATTCTCTATAGACAGCGCTGTCCAACTGCTTAGAGCAGCAGGTCTGGGGAGAACAACCAGATCACCCCAATCCCCAGAGCAATGGTGATGGTTACAATCTTTGGTTGGTCATTGCTGCCGGTGCTGCTTGTTAGAAGTCCCCACTGTGGCCCAACCCTGTTGATTGGAGGGCTTCTAGTAGTGGATCAGCATCCACTGATATGACTCATAGTTAGTGCTGTTAGAACACTTTCTTAAAGCTCTCCAATCACATTTATGGACATTTCAGAGGATTTAAAAAACAAAATATCTTGTTATTCATTTAACACATTTATTTAGGGACTGCCTTGTACCAGGTACTGTGCAGTGCTCTAGGGACATGGTGGTAATCTAAAACTTACTTGATGTCTACTGTCACAGCCTACAGTCTAGTGGAGGAAATAGACAAAAAGCAAATAAATATATAAAATAATTGCCAATTGTAGTGATGGTGAGAAGGAAACAAAATGAGCAGAGCTAGAGATTTGCACAAGGCTTGATATAGCTTGAAGGTATTTTGTAAATGATCTTATGGGTTAGAATTTTATTCCTGATGATTTCCACAGTTAAATGCAAATAATTTTCATTCTTTTTGTCTCTTAGGTGCACTTTACAGGTCCCCGATGAACCAAGGGAACCCTCCACCATATCCGGGCCCTGGTCCAACGGCCCCATACCCACCTTATCCACCACAACCAATGGGTCCAGGACCTATGGGGGGACCCTACCCACCTCCTCAAGGGTACCCCTACCAAGGATACCCACAGTACGGCTGGCAGGGTGGACCTCAGGAGCCTCCTAAAACCACAGGTGTGTGTCTCTCAATATGTGGGTGTATAGTCCTGTGTCACCAAAGGAAATGTTTGCATGTTTTCTTTGGCAGAGAAGAAACTCTTTCCAGCCTTTGCAACTTGTGCTTGATGTCCCCAAAGCTTGATGATGGCTTAGGGTGGATTCTCACTCCTGAAAAGAGGCCCAAGTCAGCTCTGCCTACTACATTCACACTTCTTGTCCCCTCTGGGGCCGATGACTTCCTGGCCAACGTGTTTTCTGAGGGCCACCCTTTAGAGCACTTGGGGGTAGGGAGGGAATTAGCAGTTGGGTCTTTGCTCTGCAGCAAGCTTTATATTTTAAGTTTAGTAATTAGCCTCTTGAGTTTATTTTATCTGTCAGCTTGTTGACCCTCAAGTCATCCTCTTGCCCCTGCTACTAGGTTTTTTTTTTTTTCTTACTAAATGTTTTCATAATTCTATTTAACCTTCCAGTTGAGTTTTCAGGAGGCTCTTGAGTCCTTCTTGTGTGCTATAAAACAGTAGTGTTACTGGAAAGTCAGTCTGTAGACAAATGCAGTCAATGAACAGTGAACAGTTATGGACTGTATCGTATGTACAGAAAGTGAGAGTAACATTCAGAAACTTTTAGAGCAATTTGGTGTTGCTGTGACATCCAAGCATGTAATCTTGCTTTTACAGAAAGTATCAGTCTATGAAGGATTGAAAATAAACACATCTTGAGGAAGTCCACTGGCTAGATGTCTTGGTCCACTATTTTACTACCCTCTTGGATTGTCAGAATTGCTCGCTCCGTAATAGGCCCTCTCAGGCTTCTCTTCTTTGAGATGGACTCTGTGCCCTGCTGTTGGGGGCCCAGGCTAGAGTGCCAGTGGTTGCGATCTTGGCTCCAGCTGCAAGCTCCACCCCTCCGAGTTCACACCATTTCTCCTGGCCTCAAGCCCCCCCGCGAGTAACTGGGACTTAACAGGCACCTGGCCAGCCCACGCCTGGCTAAATTTTTGTATTTTTTGAGTAGAGACGGGGTTTGCTCTGTGTTACGCTCCAAGGAGGTCCCTCAATCTGCCCCCTACATTACATGATGCCGCACTGCTTGCGGCCTCCAAAGGTTTGGGATTACAGGCGTGCGAGATACTGATGCCCAGCTTTCAGGCTCTTTAAGAGTAACTGATTTTTTTTTTTTTTTTTTTTTCGACACCGCGGAGTCTGCTCTGTCCC